AGTGGGAAGCGTGGACGAGATTTGGATCGTTGCTCGGATGGAGTGTATGCGACCACCCGTGTTCCAAGTGGGGAACGTTGGTAGGGATAGATCGTTGCTCAGATGACGTGTATGCGATCTATCCTGAGATTTGATTATATGGGTTCAGGAGGAGCGTGGGAGGGATAGATCGTTGCTCGGATGGAGTGTATGCGATCTATCCTGAGTTGAGTCGGTACCGCATATTGTCGAGTCGAGTGCATGTGTTGCATTGTTGTTTGTGTGTGTTGTGATGGTTGATGATGGGATAGTAGGTCCGGATATGTTGTATGTGAAATAATGATTTGTTGTTTTCTGCCTTTTATTTCATGTACATTTATACCATTAATATTTGATCGTGAATTCTCACCCCTTTGTTATTATTATGGTCTGTACTTCTTCGGAAGTACAGACAATCCAGGTGTCTAGCTAGCTTGGATGTGGCAGTGTCATAGGACTGCTCTGATACGTAACACCGGGGCTTTTGGGAGTTTTATTGTTTCTTGTTGATTATGTGTGCCCCCGTGGCGTATCTGATTTTTGTGGGATATGTGATGACATTATGTATATTTGGGCAGATGGCCGATTGTTGTATATGACGATGTTGATGATATGGATGATGTACATATGATATGTGTTATGACAGACTAGTTCTTTTTCCGCTGCAATTTTGCTGAATATTATTTTGAAAAAAATGATTTGTGGAATTTCGTTGGAAATTGTGACATCCCGTTGTAGGAGAACTCTGATATGTGTTTATTTTAATTGTTTTATTATATTTTGGGGAAACGGGGTGTTACAATTTGCATAAGAGCAAGGTCAGTGCTCTAACACTTAATAGTGATACAGAAAATATCCTGAGAGAAAAACATGACAGATATGTTTGAAACCTATGGTCCCAGAAACAATGTTGCAAACTATGATAATAGTACTTCTGAAAAGAACAACTATACTTCTAAACCTCCAACCTTCAGTGGAGATTCTATTGAGTTTTAATGGTGGAAAAGTAAGATGTACACTCACGTCATAGGTGTTAATGATGAGTTAAGGGACATACTTGAAGATGGTATTGGTATTCCAATTGATAGAGTATGATTAGTTGTTGATAGAAAGAGCCATGCTCCTTTTTAAAAAAGATCTATAGAAAACATCACAAAGTGTGTGGCATTCTGGTAGACGTTCTACCACATTCTGAGTACCTCAAAATTATCAACAAATCTACTTCAAAAACTATTTTTGAATCCTTGGTTGCTACTTATGAAGGAAATCAGCAGGTAAAAGTGGCAAAGACTAACCTCTTGGTCCAACAGTATGAACTGTTTAGAATGAAGAAATATGAAGATATTGAAACCATGTTCTCAAGGTTTCAAGTTCTTATATATGGACTTTAAGTTCTGAACAAGATCTATACAACTTCTGATCATGTCAAGAAGATTATTAGGAGTCTTCCTTTCAAATATAGACAAAAATAAAATAACTATACCTTAAATAGAAATTTGACCTTGTTTTGGAAAATGAGATTAACTCTGCTTCCCCGACTATCAGATTACCCATCCATGAATACTACTAGAGTGTAGGCCCGATCCAATATGCTCGAAGTCACTTCTGCAATGAAGTGTGCAAATAAATGGGCTTTCAAAGCTTTCCTTCCTTAAAAAGAGATATCAAATTCAAAAAATTCAATCGACCACTTCGTCAGTCATTCCCCGGATCTGGGTGGTGGGGGACTTGCTTCAAGGGCATATTTGTTAATACTACAATTGTGTATGCTATAAAATATCATCGCAGCTTCCTAGATGCGATCACAAAGGCCAATGCCACCTTCTTCATTCTTTTATAGCATAATTCTTGTTTTGCTAAGGCCTTGGAGGTGAAGTAAATTGGGCTTTGAATTAAATCTGCTCTCACATAAGGACGATATTAATTGCTTCATCAAATACATCCAAATAAAGGAGCAAGGTCTCCCTAGTAGAAGCCGAGACAAAACTGGTGGAGTTGATAGGGCCATATTCAAAGATGTAAATGTTTGCTTGCATTTTGGGGACTTTGTAAAACGATAGGGCGGTTTGAGCTAACTTTCAGATAAACATGTTAAGAGTCATCATTATCCAATTATGTGTCACCACCTCTTTCTTTGTGGATGATGTCGTCACCAGGATGAGGACTTCGCACTTATATAGGTTTGCCTATATGCCTCTCTTTGTCAAATAAAAACACAAAAATTTGTCATTCTTAACTCCAAAGATATATTTCTTTAGATTAAGTATCATATTGTATGGTTAGAATTTTTTAATACATGAAAGAGACGCTCTTCATGTAGTTCCTCTTTGTCAAACTTGACTATCATTGTCATCCATGTATACCTCTAACGTTTTGCCTATTTCTTCTTTGAATACCTTGTTCATAATTATCTCGTACATTGTACATATTTAGGCCATCAAATTGTATTGGTAGTTGGCTTTCTCAAGCATGAAAGTTGTTTCCTCTCAATCTGGCTCGTACATGGGTATCTGGTTCTAGCCATAATATGTGTTCATGAATGACAAAAGCTTGTATCTAGCTGAATTATCCATCAATATATATATATATATATATATATATATATATATATATATATATATATATATATATATATATATATATATATATATATATATATATATATATATATGAGTTTTTGGGGCACGCATGGTTGATATCTGTGTAATCGAACACACAACATCCACTTTTCAAAAGCCTTCTTGACCAATATGGCATCAGAGAGCCATTTAGTAAATCTAACTTTTAAGATAAAGCTAGCATCGAGTAAGCCATTGGTCATCTTCATGGTTGCTTGAATCTTTTCAAGGGATTGTCCCATCTTTTGTTGGGGTACATATTGTGCACAAGCATAAAGAGTTAATTGATGAGATGAAACACTTGGTTTTAGGCCCGAAATTTCACAGAAAGAAATTGAAAAGAGATAAGCATTTTCTTTTAGCTACTCAATGAATCCTCTGACCATGCCAAATTATCCACCAATATATATATATATATATATATATATATATATATATATATATATATATATATATATATATATATATATATATATATATATATATATATATATATATATATATATATATATATATATATATGAGTCTTTGGTGCACGCATGATTGATATCTGTGTAATCAACGCACAACATCCACTTTCAAAAGCCTTCTTGACCAATATGGCATCAGAGAGCCATTTAGTAAATCTAAATTCCAAGATAAAGCTAGCATCGAGTAAGCCATGGGTCATCTTCAAGGGATTGTCCCATCCTTTGTTGGGGTACATATTGTGCATAAGCATAGATATTTAATTGATGAGATGATACACTTTGTTTTATGCCTGACATTTCACGGGAAGAAATTGAAAAGAGGTCAGCATTTTCTTTTAGGTACTCAATGAGCCCTCTCTTTACATAGACCAATAAATTAGTGCCTACCAGAACTGACCACGCCGAGTTATTTTCGAGTTAGACAACTTTGAACTCTTTGTCTGAAAGCGGACTCAAGATCTCCATCTTTCCCCTGGTCGATATGTTAAGTTTGTCGTCTTGCAGGACTTCACCCTCTCGAACGTAGATATCGACTATATGTTGGTTATTGTAATGATTTTCTTCCTCATTTCCTCAAGGACGGGGGCAAGTGTTAGGAAGTTCTTTAGTATTGCTTTGCATATAAGACGAGCTCCACACATATCATTTTTAACAAGGTCTAACTTACCTGAATCATTATGTTATTTAATCTTTAAATAGACCAGAGAGGCTACGACATCTAGCTCTGCTAGGAATGATATCTCAAGAATGTCATTGTAGACGTTTTCATAAGGGACCACGAAGTAAAGCATGTTCACAGTTCTCTCGCTCTTCCTTTCGATAAAGGAAACAGGTAGATCTATTATTCCTTATGGACGAGTTAAAGAGTCGTTGAATGTTATAAGGCTTTTTCCTTTACACGACTCCCTAACTTTCAAAAGATTCTGAGATATATTAGGTCACATGAACTTTCATCATCAATGAAAATCCCCGACACCAAATGATTAACTATGATGGTAGTTACCATAAATGGAAGTGTTGCATTAGAAGTTTCTTCCACCTTATTGTGGTCTCGAAACCCTTATATCGACCTATCCTTATGTCATTTCACGATTTGCATAGTGCTTTATGATGAAGGTCCTTTCTTGCTAGGCAGCTTTTGGCCAACCGAATCGACAACGAAGATCGAAGAAGATTTGAAGTTAGAAAGATCTAAAATGTTATGAGAAGCATAATCGATAGTTGTTTTCTTCAAATGAATCAAATGAATTTAATTGTGAAAAATTGTGAAATGAATCAAATGAATTTAATTGTGAAAAATTTCATGAATCAGAAGTTGATTCTCACAAAAAGTGCAACTATTCAGTTTAGAATTAGAAATGATCGGTGAAATAACAAGGAAATGCTTTGATGCGATGAATTTATGCTTTCAGTGCGGTGGAGAGGGTGCTCGTCTGCAATATTAACCCCACAATGTCCAAATTAGTAAAAGAATTAAGAATAATATGAAAGTGAAAGTGAATTTAAATCATACTTTTTTTTCACATGGAATCCTTATATATTGAGAATTAGTTGACACGATTTCTCTTATTGGGCTTCCGAAAAAAAATCTATAATACAAAAGTCTATACAATTATTATTTCGGTTAATTTCACATCATTATGAATTTATTACTCGGCTAAATTTAAAGCCAAATCTAGAAGCCGTCGACATTATATAATGTTTTGAATCCGAAAATGTCAAGCCGTTAGCCAAAGTTGACATGATGATGTCCAACTTGCAAATAATAGTCATAGAAATGTAAGCTTCACAAACTTCTCAAAAGACAAAAGAAATGGCGCATTTTCTCTATAAATACTTAACTCTCACTCTCCGCAACACCAAATCAAAAAACCATATCTTCTAGTTTATCACCATGGCTTCCCCAAACCTCTTTATAGTTAGTCTCTTCTCATTTATATTAGCATATCTTATCCAAACATCTTTTGAAGCCGATCCACTTTTTCATTTTTGTTCAAACTCGGGTAACTTCACGGCCAATAGCCCATATGAGTCAAATTTAAAAACACTCATCAACTCACTTATCTACAAAACTCCTTCAACCGGTTTTGGCATTGGATCAGCAGGACTAGTCCAATACCAAAACCAACAAGTATATGGACTCGCTCTTTGTCGTGGCGATGTCTCAGCTTCAGAGTGCAAAACTTGTGTCACCGAGGCTCCTAAAGAAATTCAAAATCGTTGTCCATACAACAAAGGCGCCATCATATGGTACGACTATTGTTTCTTTAAATACTCGGATACAGATTTCATCGGCAAGATCGATAACACCAACGTATTCTACATGTGGAATGTGAATATTGTTGATGACCCTACCACGTTTAATATCAAGACTAAAGAGTTATTGAGCCAGCTTGCAGATAAAGCTTCGTTGAATCCTAAACTGTACGCAACGGGAGAGGTAAAGCTTGAGAATTCAAAGAAACTTTATGGATTAACTCAGTGCACTAGAGATCTTTCTAGTGTTGATTGCAAGAAGTGTCTTGATGATGCGATTAATCAACTTCCAAATTGTTGTGATGGAAAAGAAGGAGGGAGAGTTGTTGGTGGAAGCTGTAACTTTCGATATGAGATATACCCATTTGTCAAAGAGTAATTGATACTGTAATCTTAGTGGTTGAACTTGGTGATAAAGATGAATAAACCTTAAAGCACTACTATAGTGCATGATTAATAAATAACATGTGTTCTTTATTTCCACAATGAAATATTAAAATTTTGATTGGTTAATAATATAGAATGTTGACACTACAGGACCACCACTCAGGAACCCACGGGGCAACTTGTATTCATTTCTATTTGATTTTTGTCTCTTCTCTTATTGTTGGAATTGAACAATATCAATATTGTTAAGTTCAATACTTTATTTTAGGTTAAATTATTAAAAAAAAATTTATAAGAATGAATAACGATAAGATTATAACTTTATAACATTCTGCATACTTTTACGTGATCAATCACATGTCAATCTATTTTCTTCTTATCACAATCCATTTAAGAAGATTCCAATTGCAACTCCATCTTGGAATAGTTTTTTTAGGGAAAGATAGTCCTCGCGAGAAGTTCAAAGCTTGAGCCTAATGTGTTTCAACATTTTCTTCGTGGTGTTAATGGACTCATCCATAACGGTTGTCAGCTTCACTTTATTCAAAAGAATCTCTCAATCCAATAATTTTATCATGATAGCTTGAATTAGGGGTGTTCAAACAAACCGGTTATTTAAATAATCCATATCCATATTTAAATCTGGTTATTAAAAACCGGTTAATTATTAGTATGGTTTTAACCAAATCCACATTTTGGATATATTTTTAATATGGTTTTAACCAAATCTATAATTTGAACATCCATATCCAAAATAAAAATCAAATTATTCAATTTCTTTTAATTAAAAAAAACTTTGAAATTTCTTTTCAAAAAATAAATATTTTTATTTTGAAAAAAAAATAATTTTTTTGAAAAAAAATATTATTTTAATATTTTTCAGTAAATAAAAATTTTATGAATTTTAAAATAACTATTGTTTAAAATTCATAACCAAAAATTATGATTTTGAAATTCATAATATTGTTTAAAATAACAATAGTAATTAAAATTCTAATTTACTTTGTTCTTCTTTATTTAAATTAGTCATGCAGTTCATACAAACTAAATGACTACAAAAAGAAAAAATATCATATCTACAATCAAAATAGACTTGCAGTTTAATTCAATCAATGTAAATTTAGATCTTATTCTTTTTATTTTAGTTTTTAATTTTTAACCATCTCAAATAAGAATTTTAATTTAATCCAATAACTGTTCAAACGACAACAACCGTTTATTTTTTTATTGTAATTTATATACAAAAATCATATTTAAATATTAAATAATTATCATTTTTTAATAACACATATTTCTAATTACAAATCAACGAATTATTTAGGAAAGAAAAAATAGATAGATTGGAATAACTGTAACAAATATTATTATTTAATTGTTAAATTGGTTTAATAAATTTAAAATATAAAACTAAACTAATATTTTTTCAATATAGAGATGAATTAGATGAAATGATATATATATATATATATATATATATATATATATATATATATATATATATATATATATATATATATATATATATATATATATATATATATATATATATATATATATATATATATATATATATATATATATATATATATATATATATATATATATATATATATATATATATATATATATATATATATATATATATATATATATATATATATATACATATATATATATATATATATATATATATATATATATATATATATATATAGTTAAATTGAATTCGTTCAATTAACTAACTTTTCATTTAATAATGAAGGAATTGAATGAACTTTTCATTCATGAATTTTAATAATAGTAATTATGAATTTAAACAATAGTAATTATGATTTTGAATATTTAGAGATCAAAAATTATGAATTTAAACAATAGTAATTATGATTTTGAATATTAAGAGACCAAAAATTATGAATTTAAAAAAAAACAATAGTTATTTTAACAATATTATGATTTTGAAAAAATCAATTTTAAAATAAAATTAAATCAAAATTAATTATAAAATTGGTTATGGATATAACCGGTTTATAACCATTTTAAAAAATAAAAACCGGTTATGAGAATTGGTTTTAATAACCGGTTGTAATATATGGATTATTTATGGTTATGGATTGGTTTTGGACATTAACCATCCATGACCACCCCTAGCTTGAACGCATTACTTTAAGACATTTGTGAGTCGTGGAGACAATAGAAGTTGCATAAGAGTAGGTAAGAACGATCTCTAAGGATTGATTGAAGCCGAGTTAATTAAATTTCTTCATGTTAGAAGAGATGTGAATTTGTGGATCTATGTAATGTGCATGTGGTTTTTATGACGACAAATGATGAGAATTATCAAACAACTTCTAAAGATGATAGTTCTATACGTCAGACGACTTTTGGGATTGATAGATCTTTTCAGAACTCTTTTGTGATTGTCAAAGGGAAGTTGATATAAACTATCTAGTAATTCATGATGATGACATGTGATCAAGAAGAAGATATCACAAGTCTCTAGTAATTCAAGTTTAACATAAAGTGTTAATCAATCGTAGAATCAACTAGAGGAATTTAAAGTATAAAAGTTAGAAAGTGTGAAAGCTTGCATGGTTTTGTGTTTAAGCCTTTTAATTATTTGCTTGTTATTTATTTCTTGTCTGCTTTGTTTGTCTGCCTGATTTTGTTTAATATTTTTCCTTTGAAACTCTTTCATTTGTGAATGAATAATTTTTGGATTAAATGCTTAATATTTCTTCTTTATTTCTTTATAAATAATTATTTCCCTTCTAATTTAATTATAAGTTGGTTGCATATCAATTTCTTAAGTGATTTTTTTTCTACTTCTTTACTCGCCTTTTTGATAATTCTAAAAGGGAAGAAGTATACATTTAGAAGAAGTAGGGTATACTCTCTGTGTAAAAGGGAGTTTAACCATCTAAAATATTTATCTATCCTTTTATATTTTACCGCCTCCTTGAGAGATACATTGTCATCTTCAGAAAGGGGGAAATATGGATCTATGTGTTGTGAGAGTATAATCATCAGACGATTTTGACGATGAAAAATGATGAAATTTTCCAAAAAGCTTTTAAAGATGACAATTCCATAAATGAAATGGGTTTTGGTGTTGATGACTATTTTCAAGAGTTCTTTGTGACAAGTGTTAGAGGATGAGTTGATATCAATAGTACAATGATTCTTGATAATGACATTGGATCAAGAAGAAAATATTTCAAGTACACTACTACAAAATAGACCTTTCGTAACACCAATTTTACAATGGCCATAGTGTTAACCGTGGTAATACTTTATTTCTGGACGCATTTTTTTTGTATTTACTAAAGGACATGCCACAATGGTCAAATGAAGCAACCGTAGTGAAAGGTACATACAGTGAAATGTTTCGAATCCCAACAACAACAATTAGCCATTTTCATGATAAAAATGTGATTGACCTTGTATATCACCACGATTTTATTAACAATCATGATGAAAGGTTATACTTATTTATCTTTAAGCGAAATTATCTATCGCTTCAAACTAACAATTGTCTCTCTCAAAACAAAACTCGGACAACTCTTTCATCCGTCTCTCTGAAAACGAAACCCTAACAGCTCTGTCACTCGTCTCTCTCATATGGAAACCCTAAAAGAAAGCCATAACATCAAATCTTAGCCAATAGGTATTTGCAGGTTCGTTTTCTCTATAGTTTTTTTTTCAAAATTTGTTTCAATAGCTTCTTTCATGTTGTTTGAACTTCTTTCTTGTTTTAACTTGTAGGTATGGATGTTTGTTTCAATAAAGAGGACGAAGCTAAAGTTAGCGTTGCAAACTTGTGTCAAAGATCCAGAATGACATTCATTCAAAATATACAGAAGTTTGGAGCTCTGATTTTAGTTTCATCCTTATTTCATTGTTGACACGCCATTATGGAACATGTATGGTATGTTTCTAAAGCATTTTATGACTTGATATGTTTGTTGTATCGTGTTTGTTGTTGATGAATGATTTTTATGAATGTTGTTGTTAATATTTGTTTAAAAGATGATTTTATTATATATTATATGGTTTGAGTATTTTTCCAATCCCTTATCGAATATATAAGAACACATCCAATTCTTGACAAGAATTATTCACAATATTAACTGCATGTTGTTCTTTGACAGTTAGAACTTGGTTTAATGATTGTAGATCTTCAACCACCCCTCTCTCCACCTCTAATTTTGTTTGCAAAGTAAATAATATTTTGCAAAAAGAATTAGAGGTGAAGGCAGGGGCAGTGAAGAACTAGGATAATTAAACCAAGTTCTTACTATCAAAGAACAAAATACAGATAAGGAGTTGAAGAACTCTTGTCTAGCATTGAAAGTGAACTTATTCTTCTAATATAACTTAAGTTGTCATATTATAATATTCTAGTGCAGATTGGAAGGTTATATGTTTAATGAGCATTTGTGAAATAAGCATTCCACATAATTTATAATAAACTCAGGTCTATATATCACAATGTTTGTTTAGCACCACCGTTGTTAAATATGTTGTATTAAAGAATATCACAATGGTTGTTTAAAGTAATTGTTGTGGTAGGTAGCGTGTTACATAGATACAATCATGGTCACACGTCTGTGGTGGAAATCAGCATACATACAATCACACTTTACCTTACAACGGTTGGACCAACATGGTGGTATCTCTTTTCCAACCATTGTGATATTTGTTTTCCGTCGTAATGGTATCATCAGCCTTATGGTTCAAGTTGAATCTTAAAATCTAATCAATTTTAGAATCAAATAAATGAACTAGAAGTCAAAAAGTGAGAGTGTGAAAGCTTGTCTGATCTTACGGTTAGAGTCTTAGATTGATTTGTTTCAATTGTAAAACGAAAAGACCGAGTCTTGAATTACTAAGGTAATCACACACACACACACACACACACACACACACACACACACACACACACACACACACACACACACACACACACACACACACACACACACACACACACAC